GTAATTGTTGATAATTTTTTAATTATTTGTTCACTTATATTATATTTTAAAAGTGCGTTAAATGACAAAGAAATTGTATCTGATCATGTAGTAAAAAGTGATTTTATTTACTTTGTATTTATAAATTTAATTGTAAAGCAACCAAAATATTCGATAGTTGTATTATTTATTAAATGTTCATAGCCGTTATTACATAAATAATTTAATTTAATATAGTGTGACATGACAGAGTGAGACGGATGTCAATAGAAAAACACACTCTGATATAAAATTAATTCGTTTCTTGTTTTTTGTTCATTATTCAATTGTTATTAGTTATTAATAATCAGATGTTTTTAATAAATAAAATCGAAAATTATTCTAAATATCTTTTTTTTAATTCAGAAACCTTATTTTTCTAATTTGGTGCACTTATACCAAATGAATAACCAAGTAAGTGCACTTACTGTATTTTTGAATTGGTTAAATATAACTTTTTTTTACGATCCGACAACTTTTAACCTAGTAAGTGCAATAAATATCACAATCAAAGTAAAAATGTTATATACCTTTTTTAACATGTTATCATCGGAATATATTACAATAATCAATTAAAAAATACCATTTAGTGCGGCTAAAAGGAAATAGGTTTTATTGGTTTCCTAGAAAATTTTATTTTTGTCCCTTATTGTGTTTTGAAATTGGGCAGCCATTTACCTTAATCAGTTTTTGTGAGAATAAATACCATTTTTTTAAAATAGCATAACTTAAATGATATAAAAACATTTTCAATCAGTCAATCTTCAAATATAAAATTATTAACATCAAATTAATCAAAGTGCCTTCACTTGTCATATCGAAAAATAGTGTTTATTTCCTCTCTACATTATTTTATCTAGATGTTTCCAATTAAGCTGTCAAACTCTAAACTTCACAATAAGACAATTTTAATTGTGTTTATTTAAAAACCGTGTTTAAATAAAACTGCGAATTTAATAAATCGGAAGTATGTGTGTCAATTCAATGATTGTTAACAAAACACGCCTCCAAGTTCCAGGTAAAACATTTACCATTATTTTTGAGGTTATGTTTATATTTTGTTTTGTTCCAGTTTCTACAAAATAGTCATGTGTTTTATATCCAACTCTAAAACAGAAAACTGCGTAAGTAAATGGATACAATATCATCAGTACTCTTTTATAGAAAAACCATTAAAATTAAGCGATGACTGAGTTCCATCAAAAAATGGGCTCTTATGACAATGATATAAACTACCTAACTTTAAACAGATCTTAGACTGCAGTTGTCAGCTAAGAAAAAGCATGTCAGAAGGTATTTCACGGTATGACAATTTTATTTATATATTTTATTTGAACAAGGATAATTTCTTGACCCTAGTACAATTTTGTATGAATAATTGTTTTATTTTGTAGGTTGTCTCTAATGAATTTGAAGTTATAGAAATATATTCTATCTATAAATACTGATAAACAATGTCAGACTGATGTAGCGGTGAGGATTTAACTCGAATGATGGTGTTACAAAAAAAAAATGGAAGCTAAACTTACATTACAGTTTTTTTTAAAAGACGATATAAAAATAAATATTGCACTTTGCTAAATTAATTCAAGAAACTAAATAGTTGTGTCTATGTTAGGTATGTGCCTATATCATGAAGACTTAATGAAATATTTACCAATATAAATACCTGGGATTTAAACTGAACTATGTTGTAGTATTTATAGAGGCATGTTGGAGATATATGACACCATACCATAGAAAAGGACATAGAAATACGTTACCAAAACTAACAAGTCATGTATTTTATAGAACTAAAACTCTGACAAATCAATTGGTCAAAATATAAGCTATAAGGAAAAAAAATGTATATGTTTAAAAAAGTTATTAATAGTGAAAGTAATTATTTAATACATATCAGTGTCTAACAGTGTCAATTAATGATGCACTCGCCTACTTATTGCAAAACCTGCTGTTTCTAATAAAATCAAAGTAATATAATAATTTTCTGTTTCTATACTGTTTACTGAAATGTAGCGTTTTTTAAAAAAATATAATTTAGTATTTATGTAATTATTAAAAAAAAATCCTATAATCTGTTAAAAAAAATTGTAAAAAATCTATTTGACCAAATTGATTGTTTCACATATAATTTGCACACAAAAAGGCATACAATTATGGCTTTGTTTGATTGAAATTGAAATATAAATTATAGAGTTGTGGTATCTTGAGTTTGTAGAGAACTTGTTATTTCTTTTATTTTTATCACACTATATACTTTCATTGTATTTAGATCAACTAGTAAAACAATACCAATGCAAATTATCTTGGAGGACAATGGACAGTATCAATAGATGGCAGCAAGCTCCGTGGTGTCCAAGTCATGTCTTTGATAATTTTGTCGTCTTCGAAACGAACGTAATTTCTCTATTTACTAATAGATGGGCCCATAATCGATTCAGAATATTTATTTTAAAAATGGAATATACGAGTTTAATCATGCTTGTTGAACATTTATTTACGATTTATTATCATTTTAGAGAATATAAACAATAGTATTTTAAATTTAGCACTCTACCCATATGAATTTAAAAATTAAGAAAATTTTATGTATATAGAATTCTGTACTCAATGATCGAGGAAGTGCTAGCGTTCGGGCTATTTTGATGAATTTCTAACAGATGTCGCGACAGAATTGCCTCCAATGAAACGTCCATAAGGTTGTTCTACTATCTTCTCTAAATACAATGATACTTTTAAGAAAGATGTAATAGTATAGTTGTTTTGGGAGAATTTTTTTTAATAGGCAATAATAATGTAGGTACCTAAATGTAGGTAAATACCAATTATAGACTCTCCCACTTGCACTTGCAATAATATGTCAGTTGGAAACGCCAATCACCTTTTATTTGAATGTCAAAATTACGCAATACAAATATCTGAGCTATATAAATCTTTAATCTCTCTCAATTTTCCTCTACCAGTAAATTTGACATCCCTTCTGACAAGCACCGACAAACATATTCTGGATATTTTAATTAAATTTATAAGCTAGATATTTGAGACACTACTTCTCTTATTTCTTTCTTTTCCGTATTCCGTTTTTATTATTTAAACATTCTGTGGCAAATAGACACCGTCCGAAGCCATATCTCTCACACAACACAACAAATGTAGGTAAATGTCAAATAATATAAAGCTCTAACAATTATGTTTCAATTTTGGTAATAAAGAGCAGTAAAAATTGGTGACCCATAACAACTACTTATCTTAAAAACAGTGTGATAAAAATAATAAGTCATCTGAGTCAGACTCAGCTGAGTCTTCCTTGAATGGAAATCAAAGTTTGGTTATAGCTACTGTCAATCTCTAAATTCCAGTGCAACACTATGTAGAACCATCTGGAACTCTAGAGGAAGTTATAATAGAATTTCAATTTGCGTTTAAGGACAATTCAGCTGAGTACATCTCACAAGAGATCAGTTTATAAATATGGGCCTAAATAGCTACAAGTAACTAATATCTGAATTAGTAAATTTTCTATCTATTAGGATTTGTTTTATAACAATTAGTACCTATAAAGGTCATAAATTTATCATAACAACAAATAATTGTATATATTTGATTATAACCATACTTTTATTAAAAATGTCTAAAACTGAAAATCAATAAAAAATAACTTTCCATATGTTACACTTTTCATGAAAACCATTTAAAATTTCAAAATGTATCTATACATATTAATTATAAGGTTCACAGGGAGAATTAATCTTACAGCAGATTTACCAGGTCAACCTAATAATTGTTTATTGTAAAGCACATTATAGGTATGGAACTTAAAATGTTTTCCATAGTATTTTGATATAATTGTTATAAACTGAAATTACTTAATCTCAGTGGTCAGTAGTTACCATTAATTACCCTTTAATAAAGAATTTTAGTTTTCTTGAACTTCAAGAATGTTCAAATATTGAGACGTTATTCTAAATTAAAATATATATTTATTTAATAGATATCTCGATAGATATACTTACGCTCCTGAGTCAAGTTTTGGGCAAGACTGTCCCGTGTTTTTGATTTTTTCTGGATGGCAGGCCTGACAATGGGTCCCTCTCAACACTTGCTTTCCATTATTCTTTTTGTGTACAGTAGCATGTTTTAGTATACTTTTAAATGTTTTCAGATCGTCCAATTCCAGTCTGGAGGCTGATAATTTCACTAATTACTCTAGCAGCAAAAAATTCTAACAATTTTAAAACAGCACCAACTTGAATATCCTATTACACTACAATTTTTTTGAGTATCTAAATAAAAATGTTTTTGTCTAGTCATTTATCACATTTCACTGAGTTTCAATCCTGTATAAAGATCCCAGTTTGCATAGAAAAATCTGAAATAGAAGGAACAATTTTATAAACCTTTACACAACCTTGTGTAACGCCACTGCTAATTTATGTCAAAAAAAAAAGATTACGCCGATTTTAAATGAACTGCAACAATGCAGTTTATAGACGTAAGTGACGAATACTTTTTATTCTTGCAAATATGACATACAATTCGCAGTGATCATCAAGGAATTTAATCATATATTTTCTGTCAAGATAAATAAAACGTAGTCCTTATCAGACGACAAATGCATGTAATTAAATACATAATTTCAGGTGTTAAGGATTTACAAGCAAGTACAGGTCTTTAAAAAAACTTAAAACACATTTAATTTGAGGTAAAAAACAGTTTATTACCGAAAAAAACTCACATTCTTCGAGGAAAATGACACCACCCCGAAACAATTTTGACACCTTTAAAAATATCCCTCGCTAGAAGGCGCTGTTGAATTTGCCGGATATGACATTTGACATTCTTCCTTTTTATTTAAACTGCTAATTTACTATTACATATTTGGATATTTACTTAATAACTGAGTACGAGAGAGCGAACAGACCTCAACATTAGTATTTCCACCAGAAGAAAATGACAGTTCCTGATTTGTCATCCCCTTGTCCACTGTCATTAGTGTCATTTTAATTAAAATAAAATCACTTTTATATTTATCCAAACAAAAACATTTTATTAAAATTAAAATGTCGATTGAAATTTTACAATCGGATTGTAAAAGGGCCGTTTCCAATTTGAATTCGTTAAGTAACAATGAGTTAGATGCCATTATGAACGATGACGAAAAAATACAAGAAATTATTGCACAGCTAGATCAGGTGAGATTTATTAATCCTCTCCAAATATGTATTAAAATAATTTTATATTTTTAGTCGTATTTAAAAGAAATTGAAAATGAAAAAGAAACGGTACTAGTTAGTAACAATTCCATGGCCGAATTTAATCTTTCAAAAGAACCAGAGTTGGTCGAAGGTCGAGAAAAAATACAGGAATTAACTGAAACTGGAGAAAAGTTAACCAAAACTATAGAAGATAAATTGAAGGAATTAAGTGAGTTCGAAATAAAAAATACTTTGAGCTGTGAACATTTTATGGAAGACAACATTTTACTAGGGGGGTACTAGGCCCATTACTTTTCCTACTGTACGTTAACGATATGCCTGAATATTTTAAAGATCAGGATGATATATTTATTTATGCCGACGACACAACAGTAATAGTATCTGCCGGTACTTTAGCACAGGTAGTAGAAAAAGTAAAAAAGATGGCATTTAAAGAATGGTGTGACTGTAATAGATTGGTTTTAAACTTGGAAAAAACAATTTGTGTTCATTTTTCCTATGGGGACAGAAAATTTGTCCAATCACCTTTTGATGTAAACATCAATAAAGTTAATGTATTAGTAAATTCAGAAAATAAAACTAAATTTCTTGGGACCCTTGTTGATTGTAATCTAAACTTCAGAGAACAAATAGATAATATTTGCAAAAATCTTAATAAAAGCTATTTTATGTTGTACTCACTTAAAAATGATATGCCAAAGGAATCTTTAATAACAATTTACTATGCCCATGTATATTTAACCCTTAATTACAATATTACTGTTTGGGGTCAGGCATCAGATATCTCTCGTGTATTTATTATCCAAAAATGCATATTTGACAATAATAAAATGTTTAGTGTTACTGCAATATACCTCTATAAATTATTGTCTTACTTTTAATAAAATAAGAAATCTCATAATGAAAAAATATATACATGGGTATAATACCAGAAATGCTAAAAATATATATTTAAAACAACATTACCATACCAGCTACAAAAATCACCATAATACGCTGATTCTTACCTCTTTAACAAACTGCCATCAAACATGAAAATAATCAAACCCTACAAAGCTTCCAGAAAGATCTTAAGAAGATATTAATAGTTAATGTTTTCTACTCATTAGATGGGTACCTACAGTATAGGCTTGCTTAGCTGATATATGAGATTTTTATATTGTACTGTGTTGTATTGTTACTTTGTTCTTTTTATTTATTTATCTATGTATGACTTACCTTATTCATATTTTATAGATATGGCTTCAAAGGTCAATAAATATTATTATTATTATTACTATTATTTTTAACTGACTTCAAAAAAGGAGGAGGTTCTCAATTCGTCAGTATATTTTTTATTTTTTTTTATGTATGTTCAGCAATAATTTTTTAACATGGTGTCCGATTTCAATGATTCTTTTTTTGTTAGAAAGAGGGTACTTCAAAGATGGTCCCATATAATTTTCGTTAAAAGTTAAAATCTAATAATTGGGTCCATGAGAAAATCCTCAAATTCTTAATTTTTTTACTTTTGGAGATAATTCTTTACCACCTTGTCCGATTTTTATAATTCCGTTTTTTTTTTGTTAGTAAGGGGGTACCTCAGGGGTGGTTCCATATAAATTTGGTCAAAATCTAATAATTGGGTCCATGATAAAATCTTCAAACTCTTCATTTTTTATGTTTAGCGATATAATTCTTTACCACCTTATCTGATTTCTGTGATTTTTTTAGTAAGGGGATACCTCAGGGGTGGTCCCATATAAATTTGGTTAAGATGCAGTGATGGCATCTACACGATTTTGAAGTCGTTTTTTTTAAAATAATTTTAATACTTGTTATTATTTTTAGAGGAAAAAGGTGGTGATATGTCTCTAGAAACAGCTTTAGCTTTGTTACAAACAGCTGCTAGTGAGATGGAAGAAGAATCTGACAAGATAGCAAAGAAATTTTTAGATAGCGAGCTTGAACTGGATGATTTTCTAGACGATTTCTTAGAGAAGCGAAGAATAATGCATATGAGGCTAGTTAAAGCTGAAAAACTTTCAAAAATCTTACAAAGAGATCCTTCATTGAACAATATTCCTAATTACATAAATTCACCACCAGTCAGTGTTAACTCGCACTTCTTTCCTGGTATGCCCACAAATATTCCTTCAAATATGCCTCCTTATCCTGTTAATGGACCAACAGTACCATATCCTGTTGGACCTCTACATATGCCTATGCCTCTGCCACCCAGACAAAATTATTTTCAGAATTATTAAATTTAAGATCCCTTGAAAGAAAAAATTGATCAATATTTGGCACATTGTATCAGCAAATCTTATTCTAGATGACTCAAATAATATCACAGTCACTTTTCTAGTATTTATTTAATTAGGGTAAATAGTAAGTTTTTTTTTAAGTCATAATTAGTGATATTTTACTTGTGATTTCATCAGTTTTATAAATAAAATTTAAAATTATGATAAAAGACCTATGTAGTAAAACAGTTTATATAAATCTGTTATAAAATATTAAAAATGCAGTTGTCTACATAGACTGCAACTAGAATTACAAATATTTCTACAAATACAGAGCTGTAGCAATCTAACAAATTCGTTGCTCAAACTATAGCATTTTTTTCTTTCAATTGGTGCCTTAATGAATTTTATTAAATTTAATTACTTGGCTCTTGAACTCTAAAAATGGAAATGTATAATATGGTAGGAACAACACAAATAACTTTTTCTTTCTTTACTCTTTAAATTCTATTTTTAATAAATGTTTAGACTAAGTTTAGTTTTTAGTTTCCTTAAGAGGGACAAACATGAATCAAATCATAAAACAGCCTAAGTCACTAAGACAAATCTAATGTTTTATTGTTTAGACTCTTAGTACAAAAAAAGAACAGTATAACTTGACAATTGTTTAAATTCTGAATACTCAAAACAATAGAAATATTTATCAAAATTTTAGTTTAAAACTTGTTTTTATTTGAGAAAATGGCAGGCGAGTTGAAATCGTAAATATGTCTGAGTAATGTAAATTTTATTTTCATCCATTATAATAATAATAATTGATTTTATATTTATATTAATCTGATAAACATATATTCTTAAAAAATTAAATTATTTTTTTTATGTGCCAAACTATTGGTATAAACCTTTAGAAATTTGTTACAAAAAAAAGTAAAAAAGCATACCAATATGTGTTTTATATAAAAATATGATTTTAGCATAATGTGATAATCAGTAGTAATATATTAAACAAAAATTATATAGAAAATACGTTATTTTAAAAAATACAATTATGGTTTTCTATACAGAAGTAGTCGTTTATTATCAGTGCTAAAAATATGTATATGTGCACAACTGGATTAATGATGATTAATAAATAATTTTTTTAAAATATGTATCTTATTTAGAAAAAAATTAATCAACACAGCATTGTTCCATACAGACCTGAGATTGTTACTAAAAATGGTAATGCATTATGTTATGTTGATAATGGGGTGTTAATACACTGCGACCTAAAAGATCTATTGTGCCCCCTTCTGTCGCCACTGTACTAAGGAAATGTCTCAATGCCTATAGCGACCCTTCCAATCCTATTTTCTCAAGGAAGTGTAGGATTTGAAGTGGCTTCAAGTTAGGTAAGTCTACCTCTTCTATTTGATATCCTCCTAGATATAGTGCCCTTGGATTCTGGAGTGCTACACATTCAGTTAGGATGTGAATGGAGGTTTCGTCCTCCTCCTCACAGAATCTGCACTCACTATCCTCTACTACTCTCAGTTTAATTAGGTGTCCTTTTAGTCGGCAGTGCCCGGTAAGGATCCCTGTTACAATACGTAGCCTGTTCTTGCTCAGGCAGATGCAGGCTTCCGATCTTTTTTGGTTATATTCACCCAGAAGTATCTTGGCCTGTCTCAGCACCAAGAGATTGTTCCAATTATCGGTTCTTCTACTACCCAATTCTTTTTTAATCTCTTCTAATATTATGTTACTGCTGATACCGCAGAACGGCTCAGGTCCTACAAAGGGTGTTTGAGCCCCTTTCCTTGCAAGACTATCTGCAATCTCGTTACCCTGTACCCCGTTATGTCCCGGAACCCAAGTGAGAGTAACTCTATTTTTCTCGCCTAGCTCATTCAATTGTTCTAGGCATCTCCAGACCATTTTTGAGCTGATTACGTAAGAACTCAGCGCTTTGATGGCTGCTTGACTATCGGACATGATGATAATCTCTTGTCTATGATAGTTTCTCTCGATGTTAAACTGGATACACTTCTCGATGGCGTGAATTTCCGCCTGGAAGATGCTTGGGTATTTTCCCAAGCTTTCGGAGTGCTTGGTTCTCGGCCCATACGCTCCTATTCCAGTTCCTTTTATGGTTTTGGAACCGTCCGTATACCACTGAATAGCACGTCTTTCGGTTGCAAGCGCGATGGATTCTTGACTCCATTCTTTCTTGCAGTCCAGCTCTGTGGTTTTGAAGTTTTTCACAAAACTACTTCTTTTGCATTTCATCCTGGGGCATGTCCCAGGTATCTTTAGTCATGAAGCAAGTAGACTTTCGTTTGATTACTCCGTTCCTGATCATTCTATATCGTGTCCTTTTTGCCACATTCTCTATCATCAAATGTAGAGGGGTGAGGTTTAAGATCACCTCCATTGCGGCCGTAGGACAGGTTCTCATTGCACCAGTAATGCAAACACAGGCTAGTCTTTGTACTTTTGAGATATTAGCTCTCGTAGTAACTAAACTAGTTCTGTTACTCCAGGCTATAGCCCCGTAAGTGATGATTGGTCTCACTATTGCAGTATACATCCATCGCAGTATGTTTGGGTTACATCCCCATCGTTTACCCGCAATGTTTCTGCATACCATTAGGGCTTTTGTGGCCTTATTTACTACTTCCTTCTCATGTGTGTTCCAGAGAAGTTTGTTGTCCAGGGTTAGGCCTAGATACTTGACTTTATTTTTCCATTCTATATCTATCCCGTCTAATTTAACGGTTTTGAGATTAAGTTTTCTTTTCCTTGAAAAGGCTACTAGTGTTGTTTTTGTAGGGTTTATACTAAGTCATACTTCACGGCACCATCTTTTGGTATGTTCTAGTCCTCTTTGGACTATATCACACAGGATATTACTAAACTTGCCACTAGCAAATATGACTATGTCGTCGGCATAACCTTGACAGGGTATGCCGAGGTCAGTCAATCTGCATAGAAGTTCGTCTACGATTAGGCTCCACATTAGTGGGGATAGAACTCCTTGTGGACATCCTCTGGTTATGGAGATGGTGTCCTGCCCTATCTGTGTCTCTGCAGTTCTCGTAGATAACAGCTGAGCCATCCATCTGGATGTGATGTTATCTACTCCTCTGTATACAAGTGCTCTTTTTACAGATTCGTGTGGCGTATTGTCAAAAGCTCCTATGTCTAGGAAGGCACACACGACCGTTTCTTTGTTTGTCAGTGCATCCTGGATTACATCAGTCAACTGTACCAGGGCAGTTTCTGTAGATCTTCCTGCTCGGTACGCGAATTGGCTGTGGTGGAGTGGCACCCTCTCCAGGACTTCTGTTCTGATATAATTATCAACGGCCTTCTCCATTGTTTTTAATACAAAGGATGTGAGACTGATTGGACGGAAAGATTTAGGATGTGTGGTATCCTTTTTCCCTACTTTTGGAATAAAGGTGACCCTGGCCCTTCTCCATGCTTCTGGTATATATCACAGCTCCAGACTGCTCCGGGATAGCCGGATTATGTGTGGTAGTAATTCCTCCTGTGCCTGCTGAAGCAGGGCAGGAAATATTCCATCCACACCTGGAGCGCGTTCAGGAAACACGCTCCGACCAAAAAGAGCATGCTCAATTTGCTCTTGGTTCGTTCAGGAACAGTAGAGCGTTCAATTTGGACATTTAGCTACTCTCGTTCAGAAAGTCGAGTCAAATTAGTCTAGAGTGCACTCTTTTATACCCAGTTTGAACTGGGTTAATTTGAGTAAATTTTACAGAACGTAAAGTTCTTTTGCAGAAGTTGTTGTTTCATATTATTTTTGTGTCATAAAGGAATTTTATAAGGTTAAATTTGTTTTAAAATAAATAATCTAAAATTTCTTGTCTTATTGACTTTATAGATCATTCATTATAATCTCTATTATAAATAGGGCTGTGAATAGGTATATATTGAAATAAAAAGAAAGAAAAACAGCTTAAAAAAATTAAATGAATAAAAAGTAAAACTATACGTGATACGAGTAACAATAACAACGGGAAGCGAGGAACATCAAACATATAAGGGAATAAAATGTCTATAAACAAATAACTGTAAAAAACTATAATTTTCAAATTCGTTGACGTTTACTCTCGTTGCCGTTCAGAAATTTTGGGCCAATGAGAATTACTCTAGAGTAGTCTGGGCAAACAATCTAAGAAAATTAGTCTACTCCCGTGTAAAGTCATCTGAACGCGCTCCTGGAGACTTAAACGGTTCAAAAGTGTTTACGGCCCACCTTAACCGATTTCTGCTGCATATGTGCTTGGCCACTACAGCGGCCTCTTTTGGGGGTCTGCTTACCTTAGTTGTGTCCCTTATTAGAAAAGGTGTGCTTCCAGGAAAGTGAGTTTCGAGTAAGAGGCGAGCTCTTTCCTCCTCACTCTCCCTTTTGCCAGGACCCTGTGCAGTCTCGCTGCCGCAGGTGTAGAGTTAATATCCTCGCAGAATTTTCTAAAGCTGTTACGTTAAGCTTTCCTGATTTCTTTGTTGTAGGTAGTAAGCGCCTCGGTGTAGCTCTGCCAATCTCCGCTGTGCTTGGCCCTATTATAGAGCTTCCGCACTTCGGATCGTGAGTTTGACAGAGGTTCCACCAAGGAGCATCCCTACTAGTTCTATTTCTTTGAATGGGGCAGCTTGATTCATATGCCTCAAATATTGCCCTATTTAGTTCTTCGAGATCGCTTTCCAGAGCAAGTGGGTGCCCCGGTCCCTTTTTTGTCTGGATACGTGCTAAATTTTGTTTTAGAATGGTGTTGTATTTGTCCCAGTCTGTTTTTCTAGGATTCCTCCTGAGGATCGTCTCAGGAATGTCGCTCTCTAACGTAAACACAATTATCTTGTGATCAGATAGAGATGGTTTTCACTCGATACCCTCCAGTTTTTAACTAGATCTTTAATGCTCGGTGTGCTTAATGTGATGTCTAATACCTCACTTCTTGCCCTTGTTACAAATGTTGGAGTATTTCCAATATTTTGCACAATAAGATTACTCTTCCTTTTTTATGTATGTTTAGCGAGAATGCTTTACCATCTTGTCCGATTTCTATGATTCTTTTTTTGTTAGTAAAGGGGTACCTCAAGGGTGGTCCCATGTAAAATTGGTTAAAATGTGGTGACGGCATCTGCACGTTTTTGAAGTCGGTTTTTTTAAATTTTTAATTTCTAATACTTGTACTTTCTGAAATATTATTATTTATCTCACAAGTTTACGTTAAATTCTATACTTACTGTATTTGGCCTTTTTTCCTCAAGTAGTAGAAGTGATCGTCTAGTTAATTAATTGATAATTTATATACCCACTTTGTGATAATGTTAATTAAGATAAACCAGGATTCGATGCAAAGTTTGGTGCAAATTGATAAATAAAACCAGACAAATTTATATTTACACTCTTTTATTTTTCATACTTTAAATATGATGCAATAATTAGCAAAGTATATTACAATTGGTACTATTTACTGAGATCCCACTTGAGTCCAGTTCAAACGCAGACTACATTCATTTGCTATCAAGATATATTTTATTTAGGTTAATGACCGACAGAGTTAACGAACAGCGCTAATTCGCCAGTTGGTTAACTACTGTGTTGATTTTATTCTATTCTAGATATACACAGGTTGCATCCTCTTAGGTAAATATTACGAAGAGTATAGAGGTGATGACCAACGGAAGTAACGAACAGCGCCAATTCGCCAGTTGGTTACCTTACTATGTTGATTTCACATATACTTTGTTTCAAACCTTGTAGAATATGGGTGGCTTAGCTAACGAATAGTGTATTCACCAGTTGGATATTTTACTGTTAAATTTTACCATCTTGGTTTGTACAATTTATCCAATCACAACCCTGTATATTTCTAAAATATTGATTTTTGTCATTTCTATTGAAATAACTTAATACAACCCTGTACATTTCTTAATATTGATTTTTATAATTTCTATTGAAAACTTAAATTCACCTGTCGCAAACAGATGACTAAACTGTCTTTCAGGGTGAACGACTGAAGGCCATATGGTTTATTGGTTACATTGATAATATTGAAGAAAATGTCAGGCCCTCGTCTAAACGACCCCGGTGGTATTTCAAAGAAAGTTACAAAAATATTTTGACTCACCATTGAAAATACAGACATTAGATTACGTACTAATTTTATCTAGCGTTGTGACGGCGTCGATTTAGGTACGTCGCAGCGTTGAGCGTCGCCTTGCGTCGTGGTGGAGAGGAAGGTATTTAATACGGTACTGAATTGGGACAGATATACGGTAGAAATATTTAGGTGCAGGAAGTGACGAAGGGTGTCGACAAAGATATTATGAAGAAAATATTTAGGGGCGGCAAGCGTCGAGAAGTAGAACGATGGTATGTTTGGCGTCGAAATGAATGTAAGGTAGAAAATACTTAGATGGTGCGGAATGTGACAGCATTCGAGACGTAGAAAAGTAGGGCGCCTGGACGTTGAGCGTCGGGATGAATATAATGGTAGGAAATACTAAACTGGTGTTAGAAAGTGATAGCGTAGAAAGGTAGGGAAATAGGACGTTGGGCGTCGAGACGTTGACACCTTCAAGAATAAGAGGTATTGTAGAATAGACGTCGTTTAGTAAGAACGTTTTAGGAAAGGTACAGATTTTATAACTGGATACAAATAATAAAGTGATTGCTTGAATGTAAAATAAAATGAATGCTTGCACATCAAATAATAAAATATGAATGAATTTGAGCCTATTTGGGTCCGGATTCTTATACCAGTTTTAATGGCTTTTTTGAGACGTCAGTATGTCTTTAGTTCCCAGCGAAAAACGAATCTGGGTGGAAAGGGGGTGGCTGATTTTTTAATTGCCTTGAAAATTTTGTATATCGAAAACAACATTACTATTCTTAGAGCTTTTGACTATTCGGTTATCCTTAAAGCGGGAAATATAGAGACACGGAGGGGAGTGGACAGGAGTGGAAATAACGTGCAACAGAGAAATTGCAAATCTAGCTACGGCCTAACGGACCACAAGATTAATATCCTCTGACGACGCAACCTCTGAGGATGACGCTCCAGGCTATGTAACCTCGTAGAAACCAGACTCTGGGAGCGAAGCCGAATCTGCCCATTCTACCACGCGATTTTCGACTGGCCCACCTTCTGTCGATTTTCGCGTCGCTTTCAAATGCTCAAGGACGGTAGTGGGGACTCGATAGGTTTACAGCAACATGAGATTTAACATAAAATCGATAATTATTTGCAAATGAAAATAATAATTTAAAGTAGGGGTGGGTGGCTCAGTGGTAGAGTCTCTGCCTGTGGATCCAAGGGTCCCAGGTTCGAATCCCACCGTTGGCCGGGATTTTTTTTATTTAATTTAATTATTTAAAATTGATTCTGATGCCTTGGTAGGATTCCCCACTCGACCATTCACTGTTTGGTTCTAATTAACAGTACTGTTCCTAAAGTGGCGCTGGGAAACAGTAACAAAACCTACACAGAACACGAGGCTAATGACCTTAGTAGTCGATGTCGATAACACCAAATAAAAAAAAATAATAATTTAAAATCGGGGAACTTTAAGAACAAGGGTTGATCCAGTTAATTAAAAATAGTAATGAATTTTTAGTTCATTACAATAAGTAAGATATTATTCTTACATAATCAGATTTGATATCCACCACTGGCGTGCAGTTCTATAGGGGAAAATATGGGTAACATTTAGCATAATCAAAAACCCTCTTGCAACAAATTTTAAAAAATATTCCATTGACTTTCCAAGATACAATTTAGGACTTTTTTGAGTATTTTAAAATAAACACTGAACAACAATAACTTATATTAATTCTTAGAACTTTAAATATTAACATTTTTGATATTTTATAATGTAGTTGACATTAACTGTATTTATTGTCAAGAAAATAAATTCAAAATAATTCGAATTATAACAATTTTCATTAAATGTTCAATATTAAAACTTGCATATTTCAAGGAAGCACTGCCTCCTAATCAAAATATTGAAAAAAAAAACTATTCATTCATTTGAATTATTTTCACTCTGTAAAAGAAAAAGGATACAATATTAAAAATATATAAAGGACTAATTTCTGTCCACATCACACTTGTGATTAAATTTTAGGTACGTATTCTAGGTATATAGTCTGTTGAAAACTAAAAATAACATGTAAATACAAAATGTATAAATAAAAATATTACCTCTGATGAATCACTAGACAGTTGTCCAAATAACGATTTTTCTGAAAGGAAGATTGTCAGTACATATAGGGTGAATGCTAAGTAGATACTTTTTTAACTGCGTATAGAAGTCATTAAAATAAACATTTTTTAAATATTCAAAAATAGGAAATATATAGAATTAACAAAATTAAATCCACACCTGGTCTTGTGTATGAAAAGTTAAGTTAAGGAAGAAGTCTGTTTGTTTTTATCTTTTTTTTTCTTCAGTTTTTCTAATGAATCACGCTTTATTGCGTGTACCAGTTATTGTAATTCAGTCGCGTATGATTTCAGTAGCGTGTTTATCTGAAGCAGTGAATTTAAATTGTTCAATATAATAAATTATGACAACAATGGTGCTTATTTATATAGGGAGTCTCTTCAAAGTGCAGTTGATGCATCGCGGTGGTGTACAGTGAATGCTTTCCTTTGCGAGCCCATTCTAGTCCCAAAACTTTCAAAAATCTGCCTCAATTGGCTAAGTATAAGGGTGTTTTGGGGGAACATCATGAAGGACATGTAATAAGACCGAGAAGACATGAATTCATGTCTTCTCGATCTTAAGTGCGTTTAGAAGAACATATTTTAAATGTTATCGATGAAGATTTAACAAGTACGTGGGTGATTGCAGATCCGGTGGGAGTTTTAGTTTTATGAATCGTTCTTACAACGGTTTTAAGGTTAACAAAATTTTTCGACGAAAAATCTAGATGACAAGTCAACATTAACCCGAAACAATTTTTATACTGTTGATAATCCCATGAAATTCGGAAAAGCAATTTTCATAACCGATTTTCCGAAAATGTGTGATCTGAAATTGTGAATGGATTACTTGTTGGACCTTGCATCTTACCGGGCGAAATTTATCTTGATTTTTTTATAAATTATCTGCCTGGTCTGTTAGAAAACGTTCCACTTCCCAGACAACACACCAAATCCCAAAGATATCCACAGAATATCTTTTGTGGATATCCAATATATCCACAGGATATCAGAAATATTCCGTGGATCTAATATGGATATCCAAATGTCCGTCTATATCCAGAATATAGAAGATATCCTATGGATATTCAGCAAAATATCTAATTAGTATCTTCCAGACAATACAAGAAATCCCAGAGATATCCACAGAATATATTTTGTGGATATCCAACCAAATGTCCGTCTATATCCCAGGATATAGAATTCAGATATTCAGCAAAATATTTTATAGGTATCTTTAGTAGACATTCATAAGTAACCAAATGAATGATAACGTCGAAAGAAAATAGAGATAAAAAATATTTCCAACAATTTGCCTTTGAGTTTGCTCACTAAGGAAAAAGTCATCCTTATTTGGACTCTTCAGCAATAAATGGAAATTCTCGACTCCAGTTTCTAATAGAGTCTTAATGCGAAAAAATGTTCGATCAACTCAATTATGGCGGGTTGAGCATGAGTAGATACGAAAGTGGTATCGCCATCTATACTTAGGAAGCAAAATCAAAAATTACATCTAGTAGATATCCACGATGGTTTGCGTCCGCGCTAAGACTTTGATATATGTGGATGTCCATGGGATATTGAATACACCTTCAAAAAATTAATTTTAAATATCTGAACGGTACTATTAGCCACAATGGCGAGCACAATGGCGTAATTTTTTAATAATTTGCTATATGATTACTATTATTTATGGACATTTGCATGTCTGTAAATTACAGCTCATGGATATAAAATAGATATCCACCATGGACTGGATATTCAGTGGATATTGGGATGTTCAGTAGATATCCAAAGGATTTGGTGTGCTGTCTGGGTTAATATCGGCAAGATATGTGGCTCTTTCGGGATGGGGCACCTGCCTATTTTAGAAGACAGGCGAAGGAGTTTTTAGCCATTACTTTCCCGAAAAGGTGGCGACCGAGGTCATCAGACCTAAATCGTTGTGATTTTTTCATGTGGGGCTACATGAAAACTTTAGTTTACAAGATGCCAGTAAACACATGGGAATAATTAATTGCATACAGAGGAGAGCATTGTAGTGTACCTGAATGGTGACAACTTTGAACACATTATATTTAAGTTAGACAGGACCATATTGTATACATTTTGGAATAAACTGTTGTTTCTTATTTCGAGCTTTTTTGAAAAAGTTGTTTATTTTAATGATTTCCATAAACAGTTAAAAAACCGGCCAAGTGCGAGTCAGACTTGGGCATTAATTGTCCGGTACCATCGTAAAAGATTTAATACTATGTAGGTACTTTTTAAATACTATAAAGATCGAGCAAAAAAAACACGTTTCTACCTAGACAGCACACCAAATCCTTTGGGTATCTAGTGGACATCCCAATATCCATTGAAGGTCCAGTCCACGGTGGAAATCTAGTTTATATCCATGAGATGTAATTTATAGACATACAAATGTCCATAAATAATAGTAATTACATAATAAATTATTAAAAAATTACGCCATTATATGGCTAATAGAACCGTTTAGATATTTCAAATTAATTTTGTTTAAGATGTATTCAATATCTCATGGATATCCACTAAATATATCAAAGTCTAGGCGCAAACCATGGTGAATATCCACTAGATGTAATTTATGGATATAATATGTACCTAAATATCGGAAAATATATGAATTGATTTAATAATTATTAAATTACTTAAATATTACACCATGTGATAACTAAGAAAGTATATAGGTATGGTTTATAGAAATTTAAAATTAGTAAGTTTTATTCAATATATCCCACAGATATCCGCTAGATAAATAATATTGGCACTGAACGCGAGTACATGCGCGGATATTTTCTGCCCTCACAGGTGCCATCGGCTATTCTATATACTAGAACAAAATATTGGAGAAGGTGAATCATATGCATTATCAACACTGTTGTCTATGAATGAAAATTCTGACGGAAAGTAACAGAGTCAGCATAGGCGGCGTATCAAATACCAAATAATTATTTATTAGGTATTTGTTAGTAAACTTTATTAAATTTGTTTGTCAATATCTTTATTTAAAAAAGGATGGTGCGTTAAATATACGTTTTTGATAGTTTTCAAGAAATGAATATATTTATTCCCTGACTTCGTTATCTGTGTTTAATGGTTTTAAAAACACCGCTTTTAAAAACGTGTCATCTCCGTTCTTGGCAATTTCGTTGATCGTTACATTTATTTAGTTAGACAAACAAAAAAGTCCGTCGATGCGTGGATCAGGTAAAGAGTCAAAACGGCTAAATCAGTTTTAACTATGTAATAGAGAGTAAAATTTTGTAAGATGATACCCTAATATTTGGAGGCGATGACAAATGAATGTGCTTCAAGTAAATAAACGACAGACGGGTTATAGATTAAATATTGTCAGCACAGGCACAAAGACAGTTGAAAATTAACTTTCGACGAAGTTAGATTTGTATCGCTTCTTTAACTATTTACGATAATTATTTTATATTTTATAAACACTTTTTGTATAAGTGCTCTTTATTCTGATATACGAGTAGGTGTTCATGTTTGTGCCTTACAATTTGGTAGTGGTAGTGCATATTCGAGGAGTTATATTTATTGTGTAGTATATTAGGTAGGTACTTTAAAAGTTTATTAAATAGTAAAATATTGGTGTTTTTATAAATTTACAAAATCAATTTAATAGTAGAATTATATTGTTACAATAGTAATGGATTCAGAGGCGGGTCCAAGTGAAACCCAATTACGTCGGCTTAAACCCTTATCAAAGGATGAAAAGAACATTATATGGAAAGTGTATGATGGGCTGAAACAGACACTTCCTACAAATGAAGCTGTAAACCGCAGTTCTTTTTTAACTGGAGTATCTGTTTCAACAATTGAACGTATTGTACGTGAAAAAACCAAAAAAAGGCTCCTTAGAAGCCCCTTAAACGCATACCCGTGGTCGAAAATTGTTGAAATTGGACGATAAACAAAAACAAATCATTCGAAGAACTGTACATTTTTTTTTTTTTCGAAAACAAAGACCCAACACTTAAAGTTGTTCTTACGAAATTAAGAGAAAACGAAGAAATTCCATTAATGAGCCGTGAAAGTTTACGAACAATTTTATGGGGCCTAAAATTTCGTTTTGTCAAACGGTGTAGGAAATCAATTTTAATTGATAGGTCAGCGTTATTTACGAAATATTAAAGAGTTTAGAGCCGCTAAAAGAAAGATATACGGTATCTAAGATATGGCAAGATACTTTTGTAACTAGTCATCGCCAAGCTTTTATAGACGGATTATCTACAGGTTTGAAAGAACCATCAGGTAAAGGACAGCGCCTAATTGTTACCCATATCGGAAGTGTCAGTGGATTTTTGGAACATAGCGCTCTTTTGTTTATATCGAAAAAAACAGGTGGTAGTCCACGAGGACATGAATGCGGAATGCTTTGAAAAATGGTTTACTGAAGTATTACAGCGTGTAGAACGAAATTCAGTTATTGTACTAGATAACGCTTATCACAGTCGACGATTTGAATGCATTCCGATAATGTCCAGTAGGAAAACGGATATGCAAACCTGGCTGCGGGATAAAGCAATAATATTTACTGGGGAGATGCTTAAAGTGGAATTAATGGACCTAATAAAGGAACACCGCCATAAATATATTCAATATGTTGTCGACATAATGGCTCGTGATCGTGGTATTACGGTACTAAGACTTCCCCCTTATCACTGCGAATTCAATCCTATTTAACTAATTTGGGCGCAAGTGGTTTGTAGCTCGAGAAAATAAAACTTTTAAAATAGCCGACCTTCAAAGTTTATTAAAAACCGGTATAGAACGTATAAAACCTGAAGATTGGCAGAATGCTTTTTCCCATGTAATTAAGGAAGAAAATCATATGTGGCGCTTGGACGGTATGATCGAAACGGTAGTTGAACCTTTAGTCATAACTTTAAGTTCCGACGATAAAGACGATTCCAGTGATAGTTTTGCAGAATCAATGGATTACGAAACTTCATAGATTTAGAATTCAAGTAAGTGATACCAAGCTTAATTTACATAT